TTTCATGGCTAGAGAAGACATTTTCATGGCTAGAGAAGACATTTTCATGGCTAGAGAAGACATTTTCATGGCTAGAGAAGACATTTTCATGGCTGTTCAACGTTTCAATTCAATATTTATCATTGTTTTATACATTTCAAATGGCAGCTGAAAACAACTTCACCAATCACAATACCTTAGCCGATACATGGCAGTGAATCAACCAATGATTGAATGAAAACAACAATAAGGTGTCATGAAATGGCTTCTAAGTGTGAAAGTCTTCTGCGATCAATGATTTATAAATTGTTGATAAAGTGTTACTGTTAATAAACAGAGAACTGTAGTAATCTCCATTTGTTCCAAGCCTTTGGTGAGAAAAAATAAAAATAATGCTTGTTTAATAAACCTGATATTGTAGGGTCACAAATATACAGTTTATCCTTCAAGAACACAAATTACAGTTAGTTTATAGAAACCAAAAATCATGGTCTATTCACATAAAAAAATGTGTCCAAACTACCAACTACTGTTAACTGACAATTTTGTTGCAGTCTTCATAACTTCCTGACCCATTGACAAGATGTAAAACACACTATAATTAAGTCCAGAAAGGGCAAACTTAAAACTTCCTGCAAACTTAATTAGTAAACAAATTCAATAGCTGTGTATAAGATTGTGTCACAATATATCAATGCTTAATGTTCAAATGGGTAAATGAGTTTACTATGACTTCCATGCATTGACAGCAATGTCTGTAAATTCTGAACAAATAGTAATATAAACACTACATCCATTTAAACTTTTATTTGCTTAAATCTGAATGATATAAATGTCCAAGTTGTAGAGTAAAACTACTGACTTCAATGATTAAGAATTTAGAATTGATGCATCAGATATACAAATATTGACCCTGGCCCAGTGTTGATATACAGAATTATTTAACTGAAGAGATGGTAGCAACCCAAGTAATGTACAGTGTGATAAATCTTATAGTTGTCAGATCTGATCACAAATTAAAGTTGATCCATTGAGAAAATGACAAAAAAATTCAACATAAAAAGCAGCCATTTAAAGTTCACTTGTAAGTTGGTAATATATTGACAGGTAAATGTGTGAATCTTATTGGCTGATAGGGCTATGAGGTTTTTATATAATAACAAGCAGCCTCTCGGCTGAGATAGCCCCGCTGTTAGCAATGCACATTACAATTAAAGAACTGAAGATACCATTAGAAAATGAACAATATATATATAAAAAGCAACGGGACAAATCTGAAAGAAGTCCACACGTAGTACCTGTATATGTAATATAAAAGCAATCGAACTTGCGGTTTTCAACAAGAAGTCGAAAATATCACTTTTCACCAAAAATGACAAAAATAATCATCAAAATTAGATAATTGAAGATATCATCACGAAATGAACAATTCTGAGAGAGGTCCACATGTAGTACCTATATATGTAATATAAAAGCAATTGGACTTGCGGTTTTTAACAAGAAGTCGAAAATATCACTTTTTACCAAAAATGACAAAAATATTCACCAAAATGAACAAATATGAGAGAGGTCTACCCAAGGTACATATACACCATGTATCAAAGCATTCAGGCTCGTAGTTTTCAAAAAGAAGTCGAAAAAGTAAAACATTGACAAGGACGCTGGCCAATCACTCATATGATAAGCTCCGCTTGACAAAGTCGACAGCGGAGCTAAATATGCACGATACAAATCAACTTACCCTTGTAATAACAAATCTGTGACAACCTCAATATTTGCACTTATATAAGCTTCATCGTTGTATGGATTATCATCCCTACTTGTTCTGGAAAAAGAAAAAAGAAAAAGAAAAAATATTAAAACTATTTGCAAGTTGTTCCTGTGCAACAATTACAAGCTCTCCCAGACCTACCAAACAGAGATAGGCATTTATCCATGTACAGCATCTACGTAACCCATAAATACAGCTTTGCATATAATATTATTTATTAATTTAACTTTTATTCTGAACTATTAACAGCATAAAATCATAGAGTATTCCCTGGTGTTTGTGATTGAAAAAAGTACCAGTACTCACAAAAACCAATATCTCCCTATCAATTTCCCCTTTCAGAATTTGAAATAAAGAAACATTATCAGTGTAGATTTTCATGATGAATGAGATTGCTACTGGTGAGGCTCTGGATACATTTACTTACGTTTCAACAAACATATTCATTGATATGCTGCCAACTGATCCCAATAATCTTTCATGACCAAACTTTAAATTGAACATAATCTGTAAAAAAAAAAAAAGTCCATTGCATAATAGAGATTTATATACACGGTCATATGAACCTATCAAAATTCTGTTGTTAAATAATGTCACACAATGATTATTTGCAGGGGCTGTAACGCACTCAAATCAAAAAATGCTTTGAAAGAACTGGTGGTGAGGATATTGAAAGCAGGAAGTGCAAATAAGAAATACTGTATGAAAAGCACATCCCCAATTTCCATAAACTGTAATTGCAAAAATTACATGCAAAACATTAAGTATGTCTAATTTTGACAATTGCACAGATATGATATTTATGCATATTAGTGAATTCACATGACCATATATTGTCAAATGCCATCATAATAGCACTAGTTGCCTGTCAAAAGCGCTTAGGATATTACACTTATGCATACTAATGAGGTCACATGAAAATGTTTATAAGCTTATCTCAGAGCATATATACCACAGAGCATATATACCACAAGTTTCAGTGAAATCTGATGAGCAGTTGGGATGTTGGTGGAAAATCTAAAAATTGGCTAATTAATATGTAAATTATTTGATTAATATGGATGGTTCTCAATCAAAAAATCTAGGTTTGTGCATTAACCTGGAGCATCTAAGTACCAAGTTTTATTGAACATGAGTAACATGTGAAAATGCCTAAAATTCAATAATTAATATGCAAAGCATCCAAGTTTCATTGAAATCTGATTATTGTTTCTTGAGATATCAGTGAAAAAGATGCACACTTTCTTCATATTCTCGTCATTTTATGTGTTTTGCTTGCAAATACATTTATGTACATGTACCTCTCGGTTTTCAGGATACGGATTTCCTAATTCACAAATTATGACAGTTGCATTTTCTGGGTCATCATCACAGCCAAATTCTGAAAGCTGAAAACAAAATAAAAACATAGGTAAAAAGTATTATGATTATACATGCATCAATTGCATAAGTTAAATTAGCATACCCTTACTTTTGTTTGCCTTTGTTAGTATGTAATTTGCCACATGAAGGAAGTGGGCTTATTGCAAAATCATATTTCACCCAAATTGCATACATGTACTCTTACGTTTATTTGCCTTTGTTGGTAGGTATTTTGCCTCACAAAGTGTGTGAGCTTATTGCACAATACCATATCACCCAAACTGCATAACCTTACCCTTATTCAACATTGATATTATGGAATTTGTCAGGCACTGATTTCATTGTACAATTTCTGTAAGCTCTTTTTAACAAGCATTAAACAACTTACATCATCTGGAACATTTATTGGCACAACATTGACATAATCTAAACTGTCTGGAATAATAACTGTCATTTTGGCCTCGTATGCAGCTTCCCCACTGTTTGTGATTGTCACTTTCACAAACAAACCTTTATCTCCTTCCCCAAGACTCCATGTTGGAGGATCACTAAAAGAAAAGAAAATTAAGAAAAGAAAGTTAACAACGCAGACAGACATACTCGCACTAGAGTACGGTGATATAAGGTAGGTTGCATAGATGAAAATCAATTATGTTAAATAAATCAACTAAAATAATAAAATTAAGCAAGTGTAAACGTTCACCAAGATGAAAGGTCACCAATAGAGGGATCACCACAAAATGAACAAATCTGAGAGAAGTCCACTACATGTGAAATATTATGGCAATTTGGCTAGTTGTTTTTAACATATGTTTGCATGTCAAATGAGCTTGCTTCAAATGGCATGACACAGAATGCTAAGCTGTCAAATGAGCTCGCTTCAAATGGCACGACACAGAATGCAAAGCTTTCAAATGAGTTTACTTCAAATGGCATGACACAGAATGCTAAGCTGTCAAATGAGCTTGCTTCAAATGGCATGACACAGAATGCTAAGCTGTCAAATGAGCTCGCTTCAAATGGCACAACACAGAATGCTAAGCTGTCAAATGAGTTTACTTCAAATGGCATGACACAGAATGCTAAGCTGTCAAATGAGTTTACTTCAAATGGCATGACACAGAATGCTAAGCTGTCAAATGAGTTTGCTTCATATGGCATGACACAGAATGCTAAGCTGTCAAATGAGTTTACTTCAAATGGCATGACACAGAATGCTAAGCTGTCAAATGAGTTTACTTCAAATGGCATGACACAGAATGCTAAGCTGTCAAATGAGTTTGTTTCAAATGGCATGACACAGAATGCAAAGCTTTCAAATGAGTTTGCTTCAAATGGCATGACACAAAATTCAAAGCTGTCAAATGAGCTTAATTCAAATGGCATGACACAGAATGCTAAGCTGTCAAATGAGTTTGCTTCATATGGCAT